ATGTCTAGAGCGATGTTTCATCATCAACCTAGTATGACTAGAGCGGTCATTGAGAACCCTGTCTCAATAACTATTCACGAGAGACTCAGTCATGAGTCGAACTCAAACCCTATCTAGGATCGAGTCGTGAATAAGGCTAAGAGCCGTGTATTGCAATTGGATTGAAAGACAAATGTGATGCGATGTGCCGGCGAGTCGAGTCGGTCCTCAAAGCACTATGGCAGGAGGCCAGATTGCAACCAAATGATCCAGTGTTTGTATCAGCAACCTGCACCGATGGTGAGGAAGGAACTCACCTTGGGATGTGGGCAAGCCAGCAGCGCTATTTCAAAACAACAGGGAAACTATCTCCAGAGCGGATTGCAAAGCTCAATGCCATTGGCTTTGGATGGGACCACCATACATCCTACTATCCCAAATCCTATGCCAAAAAGCGCAAAAGAGATGAGATCGAAACTCCAACAGAACCGAATCCAGCTACAAAGAAACCGAATCCAGCAGCTACCAAGAAAAAGCGACAATACAAGTATGGCACTGTAGAGATTCCAGGATACAATGACCTCACCAACAAGCACAAGAAGTCAACTTCAGCTCAGATAGATTTCTGCTTGACTCTCCGGGACTACACTAACATGACAACAACCGTTTTTACAGGAGCCGCAAAGGGGTTTGTATCCAAGAAATTGAAACCTATTCTGAAGTGTTTTGATAGCTGTTGCGATGGCGACAGGGCGAAATTCATCCAGGAGTACCCAGGACAACTGAGAATGGATTCCTTTGGTCCCAAGAAGTGCAAGCACATCCAGGCAAGCACACGGAGCCAGCGGAGCGTGGAATTGAGTTGAGTAATGTGCGTCTATTGGAGCTGCTTGACGAGTGGAGTTGTTGATATGTTGATATTACTGTAACTCTACCAGGATGATTAATTCACTTTTCCGGAGAAGAGAGCAAACGAGGATTGACCCTACCGGCTTTTACGAAAAAGGCTGATGGTGTTGATAAAGAGGTTGCTATAGTGTTGTGTGTGTTACTACTTGGTTGTTGTGGTTGATTTTAGTAATCTGGTAACTGGATAGTCATAAATCGCTACCACAGGTCATTTTCGGTCCCC